TTTTCAGCTGGACTCGCCATTTATTGGTCCGGGATACACAGTTGAAGAAACCGAAAAATTTTACGGAAAAAGGTATGCACATGGTGTTGAGGTATGCCGAGAACAACCTTCTCTACGATCTCAGTTCGACGAATCATTATTCCAGCAGATGAATAAGGTGCGTATGAATGTTGGACGTATAAGTAGGTTTAATGAATTTCGAATTAGCTGTATTGTTCTAATTTGTGGGTTTTTTTGCCACTAATCATTCGCAAAACTCAGCAACTTGCAGACGAATCAGTTCGATAGGCAACATCCTTCGCATCTGACTGGCGAGAATTTGAACCAAGTCAGACAGCTGGCGCAACAGCAATTTAGTGGGTGGCAAGACTGTGATCTCTCAACAAATAATGAAAGTGAAGCATCCGAACTGAGCGAGTGAGTGACTTTATCACTGTTGTTTTCACTCTCATAAATTACCCTTACACGTGAATATGGCAGTGAGATGAGTGGAAATCGCCGTTTTGCAGCTGTGAGGACTTTTTCCAGCAACGTTGGTTTGAATACCACAAAGTTTTCTTTCTCTTCTATTGATAATTGTTTTAGAATGTTGAAGTTTTTCATCCGCAAAGAACACCTGGCAACCAGAAATGGAGAGTGAATAGAGACGAAGTGAATAAGCGCGACTACTTGTCGTACTCGTTTGTTTTACCAGATGAGCCAAGGTTACATGTTTTTTTCTCTCTACATCAGGTACAAATTGTAGCAGTAAGTTTTAGTTTACCTAAACAAACCTGCGAAGATTACTATTTCGACAAGACTGAGGATGATTTTTTGGTTAGTACGACTACATTGATTTGTTGTGGAGAAGCAAATTTTAATATTGAGAATAAAACTTTTGTGAACTTCTGCTTTTATGTTTGAGGATTCGTAGTCCTCACTATACTGTATTGCAGCTAGAACCAGGTGGTTGTAGCAATACCTTAAGTGAAAGTCCTGCACCCAACCTATCAGTGCAATTTATTGCTGCCGATATGAATAATCCTGTTGAACGATGGTCTCCACCAATCACAGAGCCGAATTATGAAAACATTGTTGATCTAACGAACGAAAAACCAAGTGGAAGGGTTTGTCCTTAGCAAATGCTTGTGAAAAGTTGTGCAAGTGATAAATTCCAGGACCGTACTTTTGCCTGGTGTTGCATAGTAGCAATTCGTAACGACCATATCATTTGCTATACGCCTATCAAAGGTATCCACAAGATTGTGATCTCTGCTAAACTTATGGAGTGAGTTGCTACTTTGCATACACATTAACTTTTTAAATGTACTGGTGTTGATGAGATGCGATGTTTCTCACGGAACATGACATCGTGGTGATGTTCCATGAGAAACATGGCATATTGAGAATCTCATTGTTGCCTTCGCTTGACAACAAAGCCAGAAAATTGCTAGTAAATTCTGCTTTTTAAGGGAAACACCCTTCATCAAAAACTGGAAAGATTTGCTCAAGTTAGGGCAATGGATCAATGTCGCATGTGAACCGCGTTGTAAAAGAGAATACGATGATTTTCGGATCCCACATTTCTCGCATATAGCGGTTGAAATTTGTATCACACCCCAAGAGGCGCCGCCTATCGATAACTGGGAGCAACGAGAAATTTACGGATTATTTCAGGTTATTTTGTACACTTGAAACATATGTCGATAATTTTCTTCTCAATACGTTGAATATAGTTGATTTCACGTCAATGAGTTCTATAGAAAGGATTTTGCTGAGAGGGTGTCTTAAAACTTTTGACATAAATGTTGTTTCCTGACCAATTTTAAGCTGTTTTCAGAAATTAAAATTGTTTAAAATTCTTTTTTTTTTCAGTTTCGCGTCTACTGCGATTTAAGAGTTGCTGGTAATGTGCAGCGGGTTCAAGTGGGGAACGAGAGATTCTTCAGGCTTTCTTGTCGAAACTCAATTCCAGTAAAGACTTTTCTTTTCAAGGTGACTTGATTTGATTACGTTATTTTTAGGTGCTAGCTCCTCATGAAAGGATAGAAAGCATACTTAGTGCTCAGCTCACTGCGGATAAAACCATCAAGTAAGTTGTGGTATTTTGCTGGTCTCTTTCTATATTAAAGTCTTCGTAGGTTTTGGGCGACAAGGAAAAAGCGAGTGTTAGATTGTGACTTGTTCCTCATTGATTGCGAAGATATTGAAGAAGAGTAAATTGTGTTCAGTTTGCACTGTTTTGAAGTTGTTTTCCTATGTTTCACTTCCCCAAATGTTTGTCCTTGATAACTAGTTGATGAGCTTTGTGTTAGAAGCTACCCAGTGGCAATTTGATACTTCTTTTCTACGGCTATCGTTCACTACCTATTATCGCATCTTGAAATTATCTTATCTGTGTACATTCGTTTGGTTGGTTTCTTATTAATCTTTTGTCACTTGATACTCTTGTCAAAGAACATAACATTATGAATAGGTTCAGAGAGTTCGATTGTCCAACCCTTTGAGTGATCTGCATTGTGAATCAATATTTCATCGAAGATTGGTATTTTCAAACTATATTGTAATGTTCATACTTGATGAAATTGTTGATGCTTCCATAGTCGTCTGCGCTAAGTATGGAGAGGGGTATTCGTGCTTTGATTTGTTTGAAAATATAAAATATCCCTTTATTACTTTGACGTAACTTAAGAAAAGTGGTGCGTTAGCTTAAATTAGGAAGCAGATGAGTAATGTATATGTTAACGCGAACTTATCACGTCAGTGCATTATTCTGTCACTGATTAAATTAGCTTAAGGTTAGGCTTTTCCTTCGTGGTAATAGCGAAATTTATTTTGTAACTGTCTGAGATCTCATGTATTTGCTTTTGCTCGCCCATGGAAGTCAATCTCGTAAAACCAATCTGATAGCCGAGATTTGACGTTATGGGAGTCAAAGGTCAGGTGTTCACACAGAAAACCATCCATATCATATTGCGAGCTTTGATAAGTCGTCCTTCTTTGTTCGCGGGATGCAGTCATATCTTACAGTATGCAGTCATTTTCGTAACAGTATCGAATTTACACAAATGGGGACATTTTTTCTTCATGAGAGAGGTACTATGAAGTAAATATACGATCTTCATCAATTATTCCGAAACAAGAGAGAATTTGCTTTTTCTGGACATCATTTTCGCTTGCATCTTTCACTGAATGGCCTAATGCGAACTAAGCAGGCTCATACTACTTTCTTAGTATTTTAGCGTTCTTGCTATCAGTTGGAAAGATGTCGAACTTCCAGTGAGAATGGAAGCGACCTAAACTGTTCGCTATGAGAAACTCAAATGTTCCCGATTTATAGGTCAAGGTAGCGCTATCGATCATCGCACGTTCCGAAATATAACCGTAGCACAGGGTAGACAGCAAGCAGTAATCTCTCTATAGCTTCGATTTTGAACTTGTTTTAGTAATTCTGGCGCTATTTTGACTTACGCTTATTAGATAGACCACTTTTTATCTCGTATATATGCTCTTATACTCATCTTGCTTATTTCCACACTCTTTATAATACGATACATCTCATTCAATAAAGCTTTATTTGAATGATCTCTTGAAGTTCATTTAAGGGATTTTGTGCTCGAATAGAATAGCGGTTTCCTTTTT